TCTGCCATTCTCCCCGTCAGGGTCGCTACACATATGAATCAATCTGGCTGAATGCCATTTCACTCATCTTTTGATGAAATTAACTTCTCCAAGTCTTTCGAGATTCAACTTTTACCTCTTCTGGAAAGCTTTTCCTGACCCCTGCAGTGTCTACCTAGGTGAGTCCACAGCACATCTGTAACACCAGCTCGGAGGCATTTACTGTACTGCACTGTAATCATGAGTTTAAGCATCTTCCTCTCCACTTTACTATAAACTCCTTAAGAACAAGGATCACATACCACCAACATCTAAGGACAGTGTGGCACACAATAGTCCTGCAAACCTCAAAAAAATGTGTGCAAGTTTCTAAGAGTTTAGCTTGATTAAAAGATACAACTTAGCATATCCAGAGTAATAAATGGACTGAATGTTCCCCAAATAATACCTTATGAATATCTTCTCAACCAGACTTACAATAAAAGTTAGCCAACAATTTATCTTTGGCAAGACCCTAGAGTACTCACTCCTATTTCTGGCACTGTAGCAGCCACAATTCAGAGATCAAATGAAGGCACCTAAGATTCTCCTTTGGATGAAAAGCAATCAATTAGATTTCAACTGCATGGTGGTTCAAGAAAACATGTGTAGGCAAAACCCGGAGCTATCATCTCCTCTAAATTTCAAATCTTAATCCTGTTTATGTTGAATTGGTTTTAAAGATTCAAGTTTTACCACAGAAAACAACGTTTTGCATTTAATCATGTTAAAAGTGCTAATAAAATACTACGTAGATGTTAATAAATGACCTGGTCATCAAAATGGAAGATGCCAGTAGCTCCTATCTGTAAGTAAGTCTTTCTTAGTATTTAACATAAATCATACACTATATAGTCCATAGTTTTCTCTACCTACAATTTGCTCTGTTTGACTGCCTAGCAAAGACCTACGCTTAGAGTCAGCCTGCCGCTACCACGCCTTTACCTTCTTTAACATCTGAATGAATAAACCCAGCTGCATCTTACACAGTCAGCTAAGACTATCTCCCACTGATCCCTAATAAGTCTTTCAGAAACAGCGCCTAAAATCAGAGGTCACAACTTGGAGATCTACAACTTAATACTCTTGACAAAGGATGTCCATGACAGAAATGACAAAGATCTTCAAACTAGGTTCTCTATATACTTAGTCGGTTTTCTTCTGGACTAAAAATAATGTAAAAAGTCTTCCCTCCCCCTCCACACCATTTCTTATGTACTTTGGCAGTCAGCTGCAGGTTTTATTCTCCCAAGCAGGTGTCGAATAGGTGGTTTTGCAGCGTCATTTAATAGTCAATTTCACCAAATCCCTTCCAGGAAGTAGATTTTTGAAGCTTTTTGTGGTCCAAATATACATTTCACCCTTGGTAGGTGATAATGACTGTCCCTTTTTTCTGTCCCATTTGCAGTCAAAGTATTCTAACACTCCAACTACCCCTTCTCCTTTTCACACTTCTTCCCCTTTTTTGTACTTGGCAGCTACAGTGAAATCCTGTAATATGCACATAAGGTGTAGACATTTGGATGTTTTCCAGTACTCTTCTCTAAAATCTTTTATCTCTCTATAAGAAAATACTAAGAGAACAGAAGTTATATGAAAATCTGTGATATATAAACTGAAAATGGACAGGATTACAGTAGCTAAACTTGCAGAGGTGGACTATATTAAGAAATTATCTTTTTGCCAACATGCTTGAACAGCCAATCCTTTTTAATTCTTTAAAACATTTTAGAAAAATATAACAAGCAGGCAGGCAAGGGTCAAATAAAACTTTTCATTTAAAACAAAGGTCAACAAAACACAAATTTCCATAATTTCATTACGAATTAAAACGACTCCCTGGAAGGTGACACGTGTTTAATTACGCAGGTTAATTTTTCATTAATAAAGTTGGATCTTTCGAGTTATTGGGGAAAAAAGTCACTAAGAAAAAAATATATTAACCTTATGTCTGTAAACATACTGCTACCTGAAACACTGAAGAAAAAGCATTTATCATACACCTACTTACGTAATAATTCTACAGTGTTTCACTGCAAAAGGTTGAAAAAAATACTTCTCTATAAATTCACTTTTCCCACTACAAAAACAAGAAATTTTAAATGAAAAATACTTTCTATATATATTGTTAAATATAAAAATCACTATTAAAATATTAGCTTCTAAATGACAGAGTTTAAGGAAAACTTTTCCCACCACATCAGAATTCAGCAGTGAGTGAGAGACAAAGGAGTTTTAGGCTGATGGCAATCCAAATGTCTCCTTTATTACTGATAAAGCTACACTGGAAAGCATAATTTAGACCTAGGCCAACTGGACTTCTTAACACCACACCCCGTAATTATTTTAACCCAGTCGCAGGTAGCACTGGATAACCATGGTCCTCCTTCAGAAAGGGGCAGAGTCTATCCCTAGTGGCTTCATGGAGAAGCAGAACAAAGTGCTTTCCACAGGGGGCAGACTCCCAGAGACGAAAGGGGATGAACACTACTTGATCAGTTCCTTCTTACAAATCCATCAAAAGGAAGAGTGAGAAGGTGGAACAACAGGAGCAGGTCAGACTATTTTTATGCTTTTTTAAAAACAGCAAGAAATCTAATACATCACAAACCAATTTACTCAGTTATAAGTACAATTTTTATCTTAATCACACCTGTCAGTAAACAGTCTCAAACTGTGAACGCAAGCCAGACAAAGCCATACAAGATGCAGACATTTAGATATTTAAAATATCCACTAAGTCTTAAGAACATGAAAAAATACAAAGTATTTTCCTATCTTAGAAACCCAGAAAGTTCAAAGGTCATTGAATTAGGAAGTATGCAGAATTTGAGTCCAGGAGACAGGAACCAACCTCCACTTAAATTATGAAGATCCGGTCAGTGTCTATAAAAAGGAGACAGTCTGGTCACTAAGAAGACTGGCTTTGGATGGCACACCTGGCCCAAATCTCCGATCATAATTACTTCTGCCAACTATGATAAATCTCCGAAGACAAATTATCTTTCCAAACTCCAGAAAGATTTATAAACATGTATGGAAGATTTTAGAGAAACAAAATCCTAACATTAGTGTCTGTCTTAAGACTGCATTATTTGGCTTATATACTTGTAATGCCTAAGAAAAATTGGCCTACTATAGTGACAACCTTGTAAGACCAATTTAAATATGGTAGTAATTAAGACTTTTTTTAAAAAGTTGAAATCTTACTAAATGTTGAAACAACTTTGACTTTTGAGAACTTTGGACTCAGACAAATGAGGGAAACCATGTATTAAAATTAAACAGTTTGTTTGAAGATGTCTGTTAATGGCAAATCTAACTCAAAGATAAAACAGCTAGACTCGTGTAAATAAAATGAACTTAAAAAAATGGGGGGACGGCCCCGTGGCCGAGTGGTTGGGTTCCCAGGTTTCGCTTCGGTGGCCCTGAGTTTGCTGGTTCGGATCCTGGGCACGGACCTGGCACCATTCACCAAGCTATGCTATGGCAGCATCCCACATAGAACTAGAACGACTTACAACTAAGATATACCACTGTGTACCGGGCTTTGGGGATGGGGGGTGAGGCAGTAAAAAAAAAAAAAAAAAACTCTGAACTTAAGAACCAAGATTCCAAAATATAACTAATTTTTAAAATTAGTGTAAACCTTCTCTGCATAGAAAAACTGGCCCTCAAGGGGACCAAAAGACAATTCTAAATAACTTAATTCCACCAAAAATTGGACTTTTAAAAACATTCTTGCAATAAGCAAAATGTCAACTATTTATGATGACTATGCAGACAAAGCAAGCCATTTTTAAAAAGCAGGATATTAAAAGCCTAAGAACAGAAACGTAGGCAATTAAAAATATTTATCTTTGTATTTTTAACAAGATTCCTAGCCAGCATTCTTTAATTCATCCTCCAATACTCCAGTTCACATGGTGAAGAGTCACCTATTAAACACGAATCTAAGGAGTAAACAAGCTTTTAAAATCCTTAGGTAACAGCGTTTACTAAAATTGTTTTCTTGATATACAATACTTGTACAAGTATTACATTTCTCTTAAGCATTTAAAAGCATTTTCCTAATAAAGCTTTACCAAAAAACGTCATCAGTTTTCTTAAGTTAAAATCTCATAAAGTACTGAATCCTGATTTTAAGGGACATGATTGTCTTACTGTACCTAATATATCCGCAATACTCTCCCCTCTGAAATGTTTAAATGTATGTTAGCATGAAAAGCTAAGTTAAGAGAAGTGCGTTCTCCCTAGTTATGTTCTCAGAAGTAACAAACTTCTACACGCACGTTTGGGCGTGAAACTTTGAACAATTTATTTTCCCCAAATTTGGCCCAATTCAGATACAAAACGATTGCTAAAACGTTTGAAGCCTCCAATCTCTACTTTGGCTTTGATCTACATATTTTTCTGAATATCGAAAACTGTTCCAATAACAAAAACCCAACATTCCTTACTAGTGGCACCTAACAAGTCGAACCCAAGTCGCTGTTCCTTTCATGCCCACACCTGTCCACCGCCAGCTTTTCCTGGACACACTCGGGCCCTGCAGATTCCCACACTTGTTTTCATAAACCCACTCCTTCCTCTTCGCCCACTTCCAACTCGCACGCTGCTCCGGATCCACCCGGTCTCTCCCCGCTCCGAACCCAAGGACTGGGCGGCCGGACAGCTCGGTCTCTAACCCAAGCCGGAACCGAGTAAGTGCTGGGGGGCCCTGGCGCCGCGCGGCTGCGGCGCGGGGGACGGAAGGCAGCGGCAAAGCGAGCCCCCCCGCACCGGGCGCACACCCCCTTCCGGCACCCCTCCCCCTGCATTGTGCGAGCGGGCCCAGGCCGCGGCCGTCCCGGGCAGCCCGCAGGCCCTGTGCGCCCTCCCGCCGGCAGGCTGCTCCCGCCGAGGCCGCCACACAAAGCCCGGGGAGCCAGCCCCTGCGGCGCCAGAGGGCGAGGAGAGGGAGCAAGCGCCGACGGACTTACGGGGCTGCTGCGGCCGCGCTGCCTCAGCCGGGGACACCGACCCTTGGGCACACGGCGGCGTCGCTCTTGGCCGTCCTCCCCTTCTCCGCCTTCGGTGGCGGCAAGATCTTCTTTCTCCACCTACCTCCCTCCCCCCCACCCCACCTCCTCCTTCTCCTCCCCCTCCTCCTCCGAACCACCGAAGTACCGAGGGTGAGACACAGAGACTCACAACAACATGGCTGCCACCGCCGCCTCCCCTCCCCTCCCCTCCCCTCACCCCCGCCCACCGGGCGCGCGCAAGGCACTCCGGGAGAAAGGGGAGGGGGGAGCACTCACAGAGGTGCGGCTCCTCTCAATAGCTTCCGACGCTTCTCCCGCGCTCGGGGCGCCGGCCGGCGGGAGCTCTGCGCGTGCGCACGCTCTCGGCGCTCGCGCGTTTCGGCCGTCCCTCCGGCGTGCTGTCCCCAGCCCTTCTCTTGCGGGCTCGCAGCTGGTTCTGAGCTCGGCGGCGGCAGCGGGAGCGCGCGCCCGGCTGGGGCGGCGCAGGCGTGGTGCATCCGAACGCCGCGTTCGACTCTGTTTTCCAGCCTGGGGCCTCGACTTCCGAATTCGCTTGTCCTCCGCTTCCTCCCCGTAGCTCGTTGTTCTTCCCCAACTGCCTGTGCGGGTGTCAGCGTCCCCGGCCGCGAGGGACTCCTCGCACTTCGCTTTCGGGGTGCTGGCACCCAGAGGAACTGGACCGTAATCAAGGCCTTTAGGTTTCACCCTTACCCTCTCCCCGCAGGAAGACGATGGAGACGCGGTTGGGGTGGAAAAGCGAACCCCTTAAGTGGATTATCATTCTCCTAGTTGCTGCCTCCTGGGCATGTGGAGGCAGCGCAGCAAATTGGCCGGAGAAAACCCAGGAAACTAAGGTCGTTCCCCTCCTGGGCCAGTGACCCCCGCTCGTGGCAGATTTTCATCACCTGCCGCCTGCCCTCGCCAGGCGCACTCCCCTCCGCAATTAGAGGCTCCAGACCCGCGCTGCCGGCCTGGCTCCATGCCTTGGTAGTGGTGATTCCAGGCTTGAAACCCAACTCGTGGCCTCTCTGTGCCACACAGCTGTAATGTGGTAGGGCACTGGCACTGTGTCCAGCTTGGTCATGGTTTGCACAACTCCTGGCTCTCTTGACATCCTGTACTTTGGAAACATGATAGAGTGCCTTGTGATGACTTTGCTTGTCTTCGGGGACGACGGTAAGCTCCACGAGGACCTGCAGGGACCATGTGTGTTTGGTCCACGCTATTCCTCAGTGCCTGGACCATAGTATGGTGTTTTTTTTGTTGTTGGTTTTTAAAAAATTATTAAGGTCAGATTGGCTAATAACATTGTATAAACTTAAGGTGTACGTTATTATGTGTCAGTTTCTGTGTAGACTGCATCTCGTTCACCACTAAGTCTAGTTGTATCCGTCACCATACACATAGTATAGTGTTTAATAACCATGTGTGGAGTGTATGAGCTCTTCAGTTTTTAATTATTACCAAAAAGTGTATGACAATGAATTCCATCTCAAGCATTTACCTCTGGCCCAAATTTCAGGCTTCTAGATATTTCCCCTTGAATAGTCTTCCTGGCACCAAATGTGAAAAACTGAATTCACACTCATCCCCAACCCCGGACTCTTGCATTATCTCAACAGTTGGTGATGCCACCACCTATTCAGTTCCCCCAATTTAGTCCTTTGAAGCATCCTTGTCTCCTCCTCTTATATCCCTTTCCCCGTATAGGTAACTTGCTAAGCCTTAGAGATTTTTACTTCCTCAATATTTCTGGTGATAGCCTTTTCCCCTTCATCCCCATTAATACTAGCCTTGCTTTCCAGGTCTGGATTTCTGTAACAGGCTCCTAATTAGCATTCCTGTGTTCAGTCTCACTTCCTCCAGTGAGTTCTGCTTACTGCCATCTAAAATGAAAACCTGATTCCTGGCACTCATGCTTCTCTTTCAGCCATTTCATTGCTTTCTATTACCCACAACTGCATTTCCCAGGCTGTGTTCTGTTCAAAGCTAATAGATCCTTTAAGAAATGTCCCATGGTAAAGTAAGTACAAGAGACATTGGGATGTACGGTTTTTGCCTGCCTTCTGCTTCCTCCTCCATTGGGCTGATAATAGCAGAAGAGTCTTTATAGACAGTTGCTTAGCCCAGGTGAAAATAGATGGACCCATCAGAGGCCCTCCTTCAGAATTCGGAATTGGGAACTAAGAGACCCCAATCTCCCCCTGGGAAGGGTCTTGAACCTGGAATCTCTGGGCTGACTTGTCCCAGCGTGTGGCAGGGAACCCACCAAGAAGAGTAGAGTTGAGAGAGAAAAGGAGATCCTGATAATGTTTCTCCTCCCCTTTGTTCCCGTACCTTGCTGGCTGCCTCAATCCTTGGACTCTGAAACACATGCCTGGATTCTTATAATAAATTCTGCTTTTTTGCTTAAGCTAGATGAAGTGAGTTTCTGTTACAACCGAGAGTCCTAACTAAAAGCCATGTGTATATCATAGCTATTATTTATTTAGTGCTTACAGTATGCAAGCCCTAAAGCACTTTCCATGTATTGTCTCATTTAATGCTCCCAATATCACCATGAGCAGGGCATCTTCTTGGACATGTGACCTGTGCAGTTGCACAAGGCCTCAAGCCTTAGAAGAGTCTCACAATTGTTTTAATGCTCTATTGTCACCATGGTGAAAATTAATAAAGAGAAACCTCATTTAGAATGGAGTTGGGAGGGGGCCGGCCCAGTGGCATAGCGATTAAGTTCACGCGCTCAGCTTTGGTGGCCTGGGGTTCTCTGGTTCAGATCCAGGCACAGACATATGCACTGCTTGTCAAGCCATGCTATGGCACACATCCCACATAAAGTAGAGGAAGATGGGCACCCATGTTAGCTCAGGGCTTTTCTTCCTCAAAAAAAACCAAACAAACAAAAAATAAAATGGAGTTGGGAGGCCAGAAGAGAGAACCCTCACCCACATGCCCTCAAGCATACTACACACTCCAACAGGAAGACACATACCTTGCCCCTCCCCCAGGAAGTGATACTACTTTACTATCCCAGTAGAAGGAAGGAAAACATTCCTTCTTGCCCAGCAACAGCTCAGCCAATGAGAGATGGCCATCACTCAACCAATGAAAAGCAACTATACTTCAAACTCCCAGTTTTCTCCAGTGGACTCTTCGGTTTATAACAGCCCCTCCCAACTTGTAAAATAACTTTCCTGTCTTTTGTTTCTCTGTACTTCGGTGTGGTTGGCCTTAGACCATGTGTTCCGATTTGCAATTCTTTGCTGTTCTGGATTACACCCATTTTGCTGGTAAAATAACTGGCTGTTTGTTTTAGGCCAACACCATCTAGAAGGTCTTAATAGTTTTTAGAAAAGAGGCCCCTCATTTTCATTTTGCTCTGGGCTCTTCAAATTTAATAGCCTATCCTCTTTATGAAGTATTATCTCTATTTGACAAAAGGCCTCTTTACTACCAGACTCCTTAGCACCTTTAAAGTCAAATTGTGCATTGTAAATATCCAAGCGAGGGACATTGTTCCAGAACAAATTTGACTCTAGAAGACTTTTTTTCATGAAAAATCTCTTAGAGGTTTTGTGCTTTGCAGAACACAGATTAAAGCCCAATCCTTTAGTGATCTGAATGTTTATAACCAGCTCTTAATTCCCTGTGCACAGTGAGCAGTTTCTTGCTTCTGTGCCTTCACATATGCTTTGCAATCTGGCCTTGCTCGTTAAGCACCTCCTGGTTATAATTGGCTTCTTTTGTAGATTTACCTACAAAGAAAGAATGCACTCCTTGGCTACTGTAAATATCAGGTGTGCTTGATAGTTAAGGTGGACATTGTAATTGACACCTGACAGCCGTTCTAATCACCTGGGAGCTTGTTAGAAATGCAGAATCTTGGCCCCATTCCAGACCTACTGAATCAGAATCTGCCTTTTAACAAGATTCCTGGGCAATTCCTCTACACAATAAAGTTTGGGAAGCATTGGTAAACCAATCACAATAATTCCATCTCACTTGATAGGGACTCATTCTATAATGGGCATGTCATCCATTTTGAGCCAATGAGACACATAGAGGTGCCAACTCAGAGCATCTGGGGGAAGAAAGCCAGTCTCTCTATCCTTTTGGATGTAAATAAGAATGCATGTTACGGGGCTTGGCCCCATGGCCGAGTGGTTAAGTTAACGTGCTCTGCTTGGTGGCCCAGGGTTTCCCTGGTTCTGATCCTGGACACAGACCTAGCGCCACTCATCAAGGCATGTTGAGGCGCATCCCACATAGCAGAGCCAGAAAGACCTACAACTAGAATATACAACTATGTACTGGGTGGCTTTGGGGAGAAGAAGAAGAAGAAAAAGATTGGCAACAGTTGTTAGCTCAGGTGCCAATTTTTTGGGGGGGAACAGAAAAGAAAGCATGTCATCCCAGTTCCAGTTCCTGCTGACAGGTGTCTCATGACCACAAGGGAACCCAGACTGGCCAAGACTGACAGTAGCCTACCAGAGTATTCACTCTCCCTTGCTTCTCTAGTAACGGGTTCTGTGATGTTCCTGTGGGTTAGAGGAGGCATTGGATGAAATGAGTGTCCTGACTTTCAGCAACGTGTATTGCATCTTAGCAAGTTCGGATCCTGGGTGCAGACCTACACACCGCTTGTCAAGCCATGCTGCGGCAGTTCCACATATAAAGTAGAGGAAGATGGGCAGAAATGTTAGCTCAGGGCCAATCTCCCTCAACAAAAATGAGGAGGATTGGCAGCAGATGTTAGCTCAGGGCTGATCTTGCTCAAAAAAAATCAAAATCACCTGGGGAGGCCAGCCCTGTGGCCAAGTGGTTGAGTTCGTGCACTCCGCTTCAGCGGCCCAGGGGTTTGCCAGTTTGGATCCTGGGCGTGGACATGGCACTGCTCATCAGGCCATGCCGAAGCAGCATCCCACATGCCACAACTAGAAGGACCCACAGCTAGAAATATACAACTATGTACCGGGGGGCTTTGGGGAGAAAAAGGAAAAATAAAATCTTAAAAAAAAATCACCTAGGGAACATTTTATTTTATTTTATTTTTGCTGGGAAAGATTTGCCCTGAGTTAACATCTGTTGCCAATCTTCCTCTCTTTTTTTTTCCTCCCCAAAGTCCCAGTACATAGTTGTATATTTCACTTGTAAGTCCTTCTAGTTCTGTGTGAGCTGCTGCCACAGCATGGCTACTGACAGATGAGTGGTGTGGTTCCGTGTGCACATGGGAACTGAACCTGGGCTGCTGAAGTGGAGCACTCTGAAGTTTAACTGCTTGGCTATCAGGGCTGGCTTGGAACTTTTTTTTTTTTTAAGATTTTAAGATTTTATTTTTCCTTTTTTTCTCCCCAAAGCCCCCCAGTACATAGTTGTATATCTTTAGTTGTAGGTCCTTCCAGTTGTGGCATGTGGGATGCCACCTCAGCATGGCCTGATGAGTGGTGCCATGTCCGCACCCGGGATCTGAACTGGCAAAACCCCAGGCTGCTGAAGTGGAGTGCGAGAACTTAACCACTTGGCCACAGGGCCGGCCCCTGGAACATTTTAAATATATCAGTTTCCAGACCCCATCCCAGAGATTTTGATTTAATGGGTCTGGGCTGATGCCTGGACATTAATATTTTTAAAAAGGTCCTCAATGGTTATAATGTGTAGCCATTGAGAACTGCCAGTGTAGATGGATTACATCTTAGAGCATAACGCCATTTTAATATTCCCTGTGCAAGTGCCCCCTTTCCACTGGGGCTGCTTATGAAACTTCTTGTAAACTCTTTTTATAACTTGTGTTTTTTTAATACAAATAATATAAATCCTTTATTAAAATTTCAAGAAATACAGAAAAGTTCAAAACATCCCAATTTTAATATCATGGAAATACTAATATCCACATTTGGTGAAGGCCTTTGTTACTCACATACATACAGATAGAAGGATAGATAGGGAGCCACATAGAGAGACAGTGGCAGGAATAGGCTCAATCTGCACATGCTTTTTTAAAAATACAATGTTGAATTTAGTCTTACTTGAATTTAACAAAAGAAATAACTGAAGGAACTGCTCAGATGCATGTATCTTCATAAAAGTTTTCTCAAAGGTTAAAGAAAAAGATAAAAGCATTAACAGGACAGAGTCACTTTTCAAACTCTATGCGTCAGTATTGGTCAGTACGGAGT